CAGGGCTCGGCGTTCTGACGTCACCGCTACTTCCTTTCTCATGCGTAGAAGACGACAATGAGCCCACTTGCGAGGCGTATTGATTAGGCTGAGCAGACTATTTCAGTGCAGAAGGGGGTGAAGAGGCAGAAGGAAAAATGTGGGAGGGAAGAATGAAGAGAAAAATCAGCTCTAACAATATACAGGTCGCAGAAACAGGACATAAGAAAGGAAAAGGTGTTTGACAATTCTCCTGGAAATTCTTTACTGTTCGAGACGAGAGGAAGAGTTTTGAGGACAAGGACGTATAGGGCTAAATTTCAGACGGCAGACACATTATGTCCGTAGTAAACCTGAGACCTAGAAACAATAATAAAACGGACAGAACAACGAAGTCTCTACTTCGTTGTTCTGTTTGTTTTTTTTACTGCTTCTACGTCTCAGGGTTACTATGGATGTGATGCACCAGCTCGCCTGCGTTTTTTAGTTTTCTTCACAGACACTTTATGTGCCTCATGCCATAATGAGAGCGAGACACGGGCATTTGGTATTCGCGACTCCAGCAAAACGAACGGCACCTAGCGGAAAAACACTGAACTGGCCGGAACAGGTCCCTTCGCGATTTCTGCTCGTCTCGTCTGGCTTCCGTGTTTACACGCGGTGGTTCGCGCGACAGAACAGTTCTACCGGTGACTGTGTCGTAACCATAGTATCGCCTTGTGACCCAGGTTGCTCTGCACGCGACCTATGGAACCGCGTTTCTCAACGTTCATCAGCACCGTGGAAGGACAGTGGGCAGTCCTTTCCTCGTTTCCTCGAAGAAAGTAGAGCCTCTTGAAGTTCGCTTAGCCCAACACATCGCCGCAGGTTCGAAACGTGGAAAATAAAACGCGGGGGAACCAATTTTGAGTCCAATGCTTGCTTGCTGGTGCCGCAGCGTTGTGCGTTGAGCTGGCACATGGCACGGCACGACCTGTATTCGACCGCCATATTTGCCCGATAGTGGCGTCCCCTATAGGTCGCTGGAGTCGCGCGGAGCTTAGCCCTGCCCTCCCTGAGGGATTCACGAATTTAGCCGGGACTCCACCTGCCCGCGAGCGCGTGTGTGTGCGTGTGGTGGTGAGAGTTTTAGTAGGTGCTTTCTTCGATAGATTCAGAAAAAACAAAACGGTCAAAATAGGGAGCCAGAGTTGCGCGTTCATCCTCTTAGCGCCGTCTTTTTTGCACAGCATGCTGATCCTCCTGATCCTGCTCCTCACGTGGCTGAATTCGGCGAATAGCGGCGCCGCTCGTTTGAGACGCGCGGCGCGCTCAAAAGCAATGGAACGAACGCCGTGGCGCGTGCAACGTGTACTTTCCTGCACAGCATTCGATCCGACTTCTCGGCGCGTAGCGGCGCGTCGGCGCGTGGAAAACAGACGCGCAACTCTGGCTCGCTTTGAACGTATCGTGGCACCCTCCAGTAGAGTGTACGAGTAGTACAAGTCCCGCGGCATGGCCTCCGAGATCCCGAAGCGCGCGCGCGCGAAGGGTGTGCATATTCGGCACCGATTTGAAGTCCAGGGGGCTCGGCCAATGACGTCATGGACGTTCAAATTTTATTTGGTGTTCTTTGACGTAAACACGTTTTATTTTGGATGCCGCCGACTGCATTTTGAATCGTCGGTCGGTCGGCGAGTGTCTGCGCGTGGTCGGGTGCTCGGCGGCTCGGCAGTGTACTCGCTGGTGTGTGTCGACGTGACGCCTGTGCTCTTCCAATTTCGTTCGCCCGGTCCCGTCGGTCACTCCTGTTGAAAAAGAAGATTCGTTGTAATATAGTGCAACAATGCCGCGGTTGCATGACCGGCAGGCGTGACCGGCGCGTGAACTCTGAGGTGCGCGAGCTGCCCCCGCGCTCGTGTGGTTCGATCATCGGCAACCAGCCATGGTCACTGAAGAACGCCTGTCTCCATTAAAGATGTATGTTGCCGTCATGACTCGGCTTGCATAAGCCACAACAATTGGCGACGAAGCGGACGAAGACAACGGGCAAGCATCCGTTGTCCGGACCTCAAGGATGGCTGTGGGCGGTATCAGCGAGTATCGCCTCAGCACCAACGCTTCCTGGGACGAGTACGTAGAACGACTCGAAATGTACTGCGTAGCCAACAGTCTGACAACGCCTGAGCAGAAGCGTGCCGTCCTGCTGAGTTGCTGCGGAGAAGAAACGTACTCCTTAATCGTAACCTTGGTGAAGCCGACGAGACCGACAGCAGCAGACTATACCACGATAGTGACAGCGGTCAAGGCTCATCTGCACCCAAGGCCGTCGGAACTCTACGCAAGGTTCCTGTTCTACAAGCGCGACCAGCACGCCGGCGAGACAGTTGCAGACTACATGACAGCGCTCCGAAAGCTAGCAGAAGACTGCGGTTTCGGAGATAGACAACTGCCACTTGAAATCATGATGCGAGACAGGTTCGTCTGCGGCATCGCGCCCGAGAGAGTGCAGCGACGGCTTTTGGCTGAACGGAACTTGACGTTCGACGTAGCCTACGACTTGGCCGTCACTGCAGAGGCAACGTCACAGCAACAGCGAGACATCAGGAAGCAACGGCAACACAGCGGCAAAGTTGACTCTGATGGTGAAATTCAAGCGACAACTATGAAACCTCAGAAGCAACCAGACAGCGAAAACTGCCACCGTTGCACCGGTAAGCACAAACCTTTCATGTGCAAATTTAAAGACTCCGTCTGCTACAAATGCCAGAAGAAGGGGCATATAGCAAAGGCATGCCACAGTAAGGTAGCCACATCAAAGAAAGGAAAAGACACAAAAAAGGGAGACAGCGTTTACGAAGTAGACGAACTCTGTTCGATCTGCGAGGTGCACGAAACCGAAGAAAAGTTTCTAGTGCCAGTAAAGATAGAGTCACAAGAAATAATCATGGAAGTTGACTCTGGAGCGTCTTGCTCTATCATGAGCGAAGAAACGTTTCGCCAGATAGACCAGAGACTGATTCCCATCGAGAGCACACCCACCAAGTTGTTAACCTGGTCAAAGCAGACATTGCCTACACTTGGCAAAGCAATGGTGAGCGTCATGTTTAAAGGACGCAAGGCTGTTTTGCCAATCATGGTTGTGGCACAGCACGGAAGAAGCTTGTTGGGACGAAATTGGTTTCGACCACTAGGTATCGAGTTACACGGCATTCGACACCTCAGCACGTCCGACGAAGCGCTAACAGCGCGGTTTTCCGAGGTTTTTCGCACCGATTTGCCCGGATTCAAGGGAGCTCCGATCCACATCGAGCTCAACGACGTGCAACCCAAGTTTTTAAAGAGTCGGCCAGTGCCGTTCGCCCTTCGAGAGGATGTGAGCAAGGAGTTAGATCGCCTGGAGAAGCAAGGCATCCTGGAGCTGACCCAGTACTCCGACTGGGCCACACCGCTCGTCGTGGTGAGAAAGAAAAACGGAACTTTACGCCTGTGCGGAGATTATCGTAGCACAATCAACAAGGCGGTTAAGAGCAACGTCTATCCACTACCGACTGTCACCGAGTTGTTTGCCACTCTAGGGTCCAGTAAGATATTTACGAAACTAGACCTAACCCAGGCCTATCAGCAGCTCGTACTTGACGACGAGTCATCAGAAGTCCTCACCGTGAATACGTTGAAAGGGCTGTACAAAGTTCGCCGACTTCCTTTCGGTATATCAGTCGCACCAGGATTGTTCCAGCGTGTAGTAGACAGCTTACTGTCAGGTATACCTGGAGTCGTCGTATATCTTGACGATATCGTTGTCTCGGGCTCGACCGTGGCAGAGCATGATGAAAGACTAAGAGCAGTCATGCAGCGGTTGCAAGACTCGCGTTTGCGGGTAAACAAAGACAAATGCGAGTTCGGTAAAACAAGTATAGAGTATTTGGGTCACAGAGTTGATTCTACTGGCATTCACCCAAGTGAAGAAAAAGTGACTGCAATCAAGAGTGCGCCGAGCCCAAAGAACAAAAAAGAACTACAAGCTTTTTTTGGGACTTGTCAACTTTTACAGCAGATTTCTTGAAGGGAAAGCTGAAGTTGCTGAGCCATTGCACCGCCTTCTAGACCAAGGAAGAAAATGGGCGTGGACGCGGGAGCATGAGAAAGCGTACCGGAACCTAAAAGGGCTTCTCAGCTCCGACGCAGTGTTAGTACGCTACGACCCAGCCCGTCCACTGGTCTTGTCGTGTGACGCTTCACCGGTTGGTGTTGGTGCAGTTCTTTCTCACAAGGACGATGATGGTGCAGAAGTGCCGATAGCATATGCGTCACGAACATTGGGGCGAAGTGAGCGTAATTACGCTCAAATCGACAAAGAAGGGCTTGCTGTAGTTTAGGGTGTTAAGCACTTTCACCAGTATCTCGCGGGAAGAGAATTCACGATCGTGACCGATCATCAACCGCTTCTTGGGATTTTTGACACAGAGAAGCCAATGCCACAAATCCTGTCACCGAGGATGCTGCGGTGGAGCTTGCTGCTGGGAGCGTACGACGACAAGCTTGTGTTTCGATCAGGAATCGACAACACCAACGCAGACGGGTTAAGCCGCCTTCCAGCACCAAGCGATGTCGACGAGCCAGTGCCACCAGGTGACGTACTCCTCCTCGAGGCCGTCCAGTACCCTCCACTGCAGGCAGCAGACATCGGAAAGCTGACAAAGCAAGACCCTACGCTGGCAAGAGTCAAGCAATGGATACTCTCGGGTTGGCCACAAGAAACCCTGGGAGGATCTTTTGCACCTTTTGAGGTGAGACGCACAGAACTTTCCTTGCATCGAGATTGTATTCTGTGGGGAAATAGAGTGGTCATTCCCGAGCAAGCCACAAGGAAGGTCCTACAATTGCTTCATGCCAACCACCCAGGAATGACAGCAATGAAAACGTCGGCCAGGGCGTACATTTGGTGGCCTAAAATCGATCAAGCGATCGATCAAGCGATCGAAGACTTTGTGCGCCATTGCCAACAGTGCCAGGAAAACAGGCAGAGCGATCGAAAAGCACCTGTTCACTTTTGGATAAAGCCAGAACAGCCCTGGAGCCGCCTGCACGTAGATTTCGCTGGACCCGTTCGAGGTGAAAGTTTTCTCGTTGTGGTGGACGCCTTTTCTAACTGGGCCGAAGTCGAGATTATGCCGTCCACGAAATCAGCTGCAGTGATTACGGCGCTGAGGAAGCTATTCGCGACACATGGGTTGCCCGACGTAATTGTGTCGGACAACGGAACGGCGTTCAAAAGTGCAGAAATGAAAGAGTTCCTGAAACTTAATGCTGTTCGCTTCATCTACACAGCCCCGTACCATCCTGCGAGCAATGGCAGGGCAGAAAGAATGGTGAGGGAAGTCAAGTCTGCCTTAAAGAAGCTAACTCAAGGCGACACACAGTGCAAGATTTCACGTTTTTTGTTTAAGCAGCACACGACACCACACTCGGACACCGGGAAGACTCCGGGAGAGGTGATGATGGGCCGGAGGCTGCGGTCGCCGTTGGACAGACTGCATCCTGACCTCCAGAGAGATCCAGGAGCGGATCAACCAAAGGTCAAGCGGTTCTACGTAGGCGACACCGTCTACGCCCGAAATTTTGTGACGGGACCACGATGGAAAGCAGCAAAGGTTGTTGCAGTCACAGGACCAGTCTCCTACAAGGTACAGCTGGCCAATCGAGAAGTTCATCGCCGTCATCGTGATCACCTCAGGAAGGCTTGGCTTGACTGGGATGAGAACCTTGAAGCTGACATTGACTACGACGTCAAGCTGCCACTAACGGCTGCGCCTGGACATGGAACGCCACAAGCATCTCCTGCCAGGCGAAACCCAGAAAGACCTGTTCCTCAGGTTGTGCCATCGCCAGCGGCTCAGCCGGAGCAGCCGCTCAGAAGATCAGCAGGAGAGCGACGTCCAGTCATCCGCTACGGAACTGATCCTACCTAAGGGGGAAGGAATGTAGTATAGTGCAACAATGCCGCGGGTGCATGACCGGCAGGCGTGACCGGCGCGTGAACTCTGAGGTGCGCGAGCTGCCCCCGCGCTCGTGTGGTTCGATCATCGGCAACCAGCCATGGTCACTGAAGAACGCCTGTCTCCATTAAAGATGTATGTTGCCGTCATGACTCGGCTTGCATAAGCCACAACATTCGTGGTGACTACGGTACCGTCCGACGGCACTTCAGCAGTGCGTCAAGTGCCGTCCGACGGTACTTCGCGTTAGTGCCGCCCGAAAGTCTTGGATAAAACGAATTGTCAAAACGAGGTTTCCGAAGTTGTAGCGTTGCTTAGCGGTTAAGATGTCTGCCTCATGCGCAAGCGGTCGTAGGTTCGATCCGTAATGGAGGCTAACATTTCTTTTTTTTTTTTTTCTGGAACATTTTGTTTTGTATGGGATTTGGCAATATTTATGACATTTCTCTTTTACGGTTAACACTGAAAAAAAAAATGTGACGACGACAGTGCTAAAAGCGCGAGCTAGTTGTTTTGGATCACGCGGCACGAGCGCTCCTACAGCGGGTGCAGTCATGCCTGTCAAGGCTCCACGCTCGCCGCTTGCACGGCCTTCGCAGCTATTCTATGCAAGGGACCGGGTGATAATCCGTTGTATTACAGACAAGTCCAGCTCCAGAAGAATTCGTACAAAATTACTGCGGCTGGGCTCTGTCGCCTCCGGTACACATAATTTTCGTTTGCAACAGGAGTGACGGACGGCACCGGGCGAAGTTTGAAAATGGAGAACGTACGTAGAGGAGGTCGTGGTTTGATGTTCCCGAGAAACCGACGAGTACAGGCGGCAACGTCGACAACACGCACCAGCGCGAACACCGCCGAGCCGCCGAGCACCCGGCCACACACAGACCGAGCGACCGACATTTCAAAATGCAGTCAGCGGCATCCGAAGAAAACGAAGACCTAAAAATAAAAGCTGTTATTATGACGTCCGTGACGACATTGGCCACGCTCCTGGACGCCAAATCGGTGCCGAATATAGACCTTTGCAAAAAGAGCGCTCTGGCTGCCGCCATTTTACGAATCGCGCGACCCCTATCAGCCAGAAATTTCTTGCACCCGCCTGAGCTGTGGAAACCCGGTCAGCGTGACTCCCCACCTGCATTTTGCATTCGGAGTTCGGCGGCTTTTCTTGGAATTTTTTTTATTTTATTCGCCTGTTTAGGATGCTTACCCTTTGTATGTTATCTTCCACTGTGAGAACCAGGGAATACCAGGGCTCGTAGCCCGCTCGGCCTTCGCAGGAAACGAACGAAGAGAGCGAACGTCAAGCAGCCCGCGACGCAGGCAGTTCGACGTGCTTGGAGGATTATTTCCGTCGAGATAATCTCCAAAAAGCCTTCCAGGCTGTGTTCCGGGTCTTCGCATAAACTAGCTGATACGGTCGGGTCCGGGGTGTGGCGACGGAATAAGCACGTTCGTTCATTTGCTATGGAGCTGTGCAAAAAAGGAGGTCTCTTCTACATGTTCCCCGAAACACGCCGGATTCCGTCCGATCGTCGTGAAGTGACTATCGTCGACACTGTATATTGGATATGCTGTGTTGTTTGAGACATTTCTCAAATCCTGTTCGAATAACGCGGCACCGTGGGGTGCGTACAATATATTTTTTTGTTCGAGTGATGAGACTCATTGAATTTTATGTTGTGGGCGGGGATTATCCATGCAGTACGGATATCCTGTGTGGTCAAATATTTTGACCTTTATAGATTGACACGGCTGAGTGTACGGTGCCGTAAAACAATGAACATAAAATGAAACAAACATTCCCGTTGCATTTGTTCTGTCGCGCACGGACTCACCAAAACAGCTTTCATTTCTTCGTTTTTGTTCCCAAAAATAGAGCACTGCTTTCTTAAAGACCTCTAATAATTATGCTCGCCACAGAACACAAGATAAAAAAGAAAACGCGGCAATTCAGCCGCCTCCAGCGCCCTGAATTGCGCCAACGCAGGCTGCCACGGCCCACTGACGAGAAACTCCACAGCTCAGCGCAGTCGGGCAACACTGATGTGCACTCTCAAAACCAGGGACACGCGCTGTAAATCGCTTCGTTCGAGACTGCCGCTGGAAAGGTCTATACGCAGCCGCGTGCGATGGCTTCTCCGGCCGTCCCATTCGAGTCGCTCCCCAGCAGAAGTACAGCAGAAGGGTGTAATTGCCCTAACTCCGTCGTTCGTCGCGAGGCGGCGCTGTTTGCCCAGTCATAGGTCCCTCGAGCACGGAAGACGACGATAAGCTAGCAGACAGTGTGGTCGATTCCGTCAAGCTACTAGCAGGTTCAGATGACAACAGGGATGAGGGTCCAGGGCAGAAGTACACCAGTACTCCCACAAAAAGCAAGGCAAGTGCTAAGTCAGTGATACGACCGCCATGGGGAGTGAAGAAAGAGGTCCTGATCGTAGGAGACAGTAACGTTGGGAGGTTTGCCCCGGCTTTCTCCGAACAGATGGGTGGCGGTCAAAACTTCGACGTCCTACTCAACCGAAAGGCGACGGTCGAAATAGCGCACAGGATGATTGCAGACTACGAAGCGACGGCGCGGAAAATCCTCAGGATGTATATTGCACGTTGGAATGCAGGACCTGTTACAAGGGCAGCAGCCAGACGACATAGTAGAATCCCTGGAGAAAGAGTGGTGCTTCAGAGAAGTTGCCCTGACAGTCTGTTCTGTCCCCAAAGTCACGAGCAGAGGAAAGGAGACCCAAGCAGCGGCTATGATGCTGAACTCTAGGCTTAGAAAAATGTGCAAGAAGATCCATGCCAAGTACGGGGACCTGAGCAAGAATTTGGTAAATGACGGTTTTATGGGAAAGGACGGGCTCCGGTACAGCAACCAAGGCATTAACATGGTGACTGGCCGCTTAGTAGGACTCGCAACCGTTTTTTAGGCAGGCAAGGAAAGGACAGACGAATGAGGGCACAACAGGACCGCGAGCAGGATGGACTTGTAAATCCTGCCCAACAACGGCCAATACACGAACCCATGAACCAGACAGCTGGCATAGAGTGTGGGCAGACCAGGACTGCCCCACTGCTAGTGGGTCACGTGCCGTGCGAAGAGCTGTGGCAACAACGACTGTCGCAGGGAGCATACGTCCGACGCCAACAGGATGGAGAAGGGAAAGACCAATCCACGCCACAGGGAACCGTCATGCATGAGCGGCGTGCCCACAGTGGTTGGCAACCGTCGATGAGTGGAGGAACATCGACGTACCCAGAGCGGGGTTGGGTCCACCCGGGGCTGGTGCGGCATCCGACCGGAATCGGCCTGTCAATGAAAGACGCTTCCAGGAGGATCCAAGAAGACCCACCTCTTCAATATCACCGCGAGGATATCACTGCAGAACTGACGCCAGTCCTGGATGGACGAAACCCCGTGTACCCGCCGCCGCTTGTCCGACACCCTATGCACATGAGCCCTTCAGCAATGCCTCTTTTGTGGCTCAGCGGCCTGGTAGCGGAGACGGTGCGGCAGCAGCTGGGCATCGGGGTTCATGGATCCATGAAGTAGTACAGCGGCAATGCGGCTCCAACAAGGGCGCACTGAAACGTGGAGCTGCGAGGAGGAAACGGAAGAAGCATCACAGAAGCATGACAGTGACAGTGGGGTTTCTCAACCTGCAAGGAGCACGACGGGAGCAAAAGTGGGAGGAACTCTTTAACCAGTTGGAGTCTGAAGGAATGGCCATCTTTGGGGTGGCCGAAACGCACCTTAGAGACCTAGAGGAGCCCCCAGTGCACCCGGTTTGGCACTGGGCTGGGTGCAACCGCCAGGAGGGTCAACGAAGAGGAGGTGGTTTTGGGGTACAATGGCGGGACACGACAGTGTAGCTCAGGACGCTCGACGAGTGCAGAGATCTCACCTGAGTGGAGGGAGAGTTGCTGCGAACCCAAGTGACTGTGTGTATTGTCTATCTCTCGGTGGGGAGTGCGCGCGACGAGGAGAACGAAGCTACTATGGCGTGTGTCACCAAAGATATTAAGGCACTGGAGAAAGACAGGAATGTCTTAATCATGGGGGACTTTAACGGCCATCTCCATGAACTTGACGGATGGGAAGATGCTAACGGGCGTCGGCTACTGAATCTAGCAGACGAGTTTCAACTTGAACTAGTTAACTTACGGGCATCATGCAAGGGTCAATACACGTGGTGTGTCCGAGGAAGCAGAACCTGCATAGATTACGCTTTGGTGTCTTCGCGCCTTGGTAAGAGCCTAGTTGGTGTTGCCATCGACGAGGAAGGCGAGCACAGCGTCGGCAGCAACCACAATTGCCTGCGACTGGACTTAAGTAAAAACACATGGACAAATGCGAAAACCCGTCCTCAGTACAAGAGACGAACGCATTTGGCTCAGAAGGAGGTGGGAAGGGTTACGAAGAAATTTGAAAGAAGCAACATAAGGATACAAGCGTCCGGTTACAGACAGTACATCACAGAGCTCAAGCGTCTCATCAAGCAACATGCATCCAGGCAGCCCAGTGGACGGAGAGTGAGGAAGAGGTGGTGGGACACAGAGGTTAAAGAAGCTATACTAGCTAGACAGAAAGCCAACAGGGAACATCGACAATCGCTCCGAACTGAATCTGGGAGGGAGGTTGCTAGAAGATGGACCATGTACCACGACTGCAAGTGCTATGCCAAACGACTAACCAAAGCGAAGATGAGAACAGCGGATCTGGAGACCGTCCGAGATATTAGATCTAGCGGAAGAAACGCAGCGAGAAAGTTCTGGAAGTACCTTAAATCGCTGGAGGGAAAGGACGAAGATGTTACCATAATTGACGAGAGCACGGGGAATCCGCCAGAAGACCTTGGAACCCACCTCACCAAGTACCTGACGGAGACATTTGCCCCTGAGGAGGTGTCTACACCACAAGAAGGCCGACTTGCCCCGGATCAATCGGATTCCAACCAAGAGGGGGACATCGG